GCGAGCCGCAGAGGCGAAGCGACAAGACGCGGGCGCGGCGGGAGGAGGAAGCGAAAGAAAAAGGAGGAGGAGGGGAAGGAGGAAAGAAAGGGGGAGAAAGAGAGAAGAAGTGCAGGGGGAGAGAAGGAGGAGGAGAAAGAGATAAGAGCAAAAGAGAAAGAAAAAGAGAGAGAGAGAGAGAGAGAGAGAGAGAGAGAGAAAGAGAGAGAGAGAGAGATAGATAGAGAGAGAGAGAGACACGCACACACACACAGAGACAAGCGCGACACCTCCAAGACGGCTATAAATATTCTCATGAGACGGCTATGAATACCCTCGTGAGACGGATATAAATATTCTCATGAGACGGCTATGAATACCCTCATGATAAGAAAGCAAAAAAGAGAGCCTTAAGTCTAGCTCCTCTATAGTTGAGAGTGTCTGTCGATTTTTTGGCCAGGAGAGAACAAGTCTCCCACCTCTCTCTCCCTGTACCCACCCTTCCGCAGCGCATGCATGACAGAAGCGATTCACGCAGGCACCACCATCCTATGCCTTCTGAAAAAAGGGGGCAGTCAGACACCGCGGGGTGTACATGCAGTGTATACCTCTTTGCGGAACTGCCTCCGATGCGCTTCGGTTTGCCGTGCAATAAGCTGCCACAAACTCTTCGTGCCCTTCTGATCACTCGGCAAAGGCGCATCGAGGTCTCGCAATACTGCGATAATGGCGCGTCGAACGTCACTTTCTGTCATGGAGGCAGCCCACTTGCGAAGGAAGGCTGGCGTCTCCTTGTACGCTCGAAGAGTCTTTACCAGCTGCGGATCTCTGAAGGAGGTGAAGCAAAACAGGCCACTTGCATCAAACACAAAGCCCGCACCGTACGCCCCTCCAATCTCCCTAACCTTCTTCCACAAATGATGCGTCGATATCGATGCAGCAACCACAAAATCCTGACCCCTCAAGGATGATCCGGAAGAGGCCATGCGACCACCCTGGGATACAAAGTTCACCTGAAAACATACATACATATATATATATGTATAGATATATACATATATATGTATAGATATATACATATACATGTATAGATATATACATATACATGTATAGATATATACATATATATGTATAGATATATACATATATATGTATAGATACATATGTATATGTACATACACACATACACATAAAAATACACATTATACATAGATTTAGATACATACACACACCTATAGACACACAGACATACATACACAAATACGCAAAAAAAGGCAAACACAGGGTGTCACGACACCTTCGGAGAGCGCTGCCGAGGCACCATCCGCAGTACAACATACACTGGAAAAAAGACATCCACGCTAAACATGTAGAAGCGGCCAATCTGTACGGTGATTATATGGCGTGAAGTATAATAAAGCCTTGCGTACTTTTGTTGGGATTAAGAGAGCTTCGCGCACAGTTCTGTTGAGAAGATGATCTGCTCGGATTTCCTTTACCCACTGCGACTCCCTATCGAATCCCCTATTGCCGAGGGCACTCGTGAAGATCTGCACGGTTGCACCCTCCTCTCCCGAAGCGTGTGCTGCTGCAGTCGCTGCTGCTGCTTCTGCCGCTGCTGCATCTCCGACGGGAAGGGCAGCAAGGAGGCTTATAAGTGCAGCACCACCCCTGCCGTCTGCAGCCGCAGCAAGCGCTCCGCTATCCCCGGTAAGATTCACAATGAAGTTTTCACGTTGCAACAATCGTGATCTGATGCTGCGTAGCCGCTTTTCCACGGAAGGCCAGTCGGACTGAGCCTGCAGCAAGCGATCACAGCACAATTTTTAGAGGGCACTTTGCAAAAATCGAAATTGACATTCACAGGGTGCCGTAGAGTAGACTGGACGCAAAAAATACACACAAATACACAGACATAAATACACAGACAGAAATACACACACACAAATACACAGAAACAGAGACACATACACACACACAGACACACATACACACACACACACACACACACACACACAAACACACATACACACACACAGACACACATACACACACACACAGACACACACACAGACACACATACAGACACAAATACACAGACACAAATACAGACAGAGAGAAAAATACACACACAGACACAAATACACAGAAACAGACACAAATACACAGAAACCTACACGAATACACAGAAACCTACACAAATACACAGAAACCTATACAAATACACAGACACAAATACAAACATCAAGGGAGCGTCTTACGCCGCTCCCTCAGGAGAGAATCAAAAGATGATCCGAGGCTTCTGGGCGCACATCACAGGCCGCCGGTAGCCTGCGCATTCCCTATGTACATATATATGGATAGATATATGTGTATAGGAAAAAATACACACGCAGACACACACATACTAATAAATATGCATTATAGGGGAGAACGCTTTGTTGTACCTCTTGCAGCAGTCCTAGCAGCGTGTCTCTGTATGAAACACCCCCTCGCAACTCGCCCACGAAGCCAGTAGCAGTCTGTACAGCGAAGATTCGCTTGGCTGCTGCCCTGTGACCAGCGGATTGAATGCTGCTCTCGACTGTGGAAAGAGACTCCTTGAGGATTTCGATCGCTCGGGAAGAAGCCGCGAAGTTTGCGTCCGTCAGCACCTTGTCAATCAGACAAAACAGCTCCGCTGCCTTGTCTTTCATGGCCTGAGGCGAAACAAGACACGGCGCAAGCGAGAGGTCTAAGACACCAGGGCGTACAAATGCCGGGAAGGGGCGAACGCATGCAGAGCGCTGCATGCGTTCCCCCCGCCCCAGTCGAGATTGAGTGCTCAAAGCACGTCTAAACAGACTTTGAACACGCAGACTGCACGGGAAGAAAACAGAAGCAGCCGGCATGCAAAGGGGGCATAACGGCAGTTGCGTTACGCTACGGCGAAAACGCGAAGGTCTCTAGTGCCCAAGAGAAAAGCCAAACAGTCGCAGGGTGTGTGGCTGTGTGCATAGGGTTCCTGTGTGTGTGTTTAGGTGTATGTGTTTAGGTGTATGTGTTTAGGTGTATGGGTTTAGGTGTGCATATTAAGTGTATGGTTGTGTGCATATATGTGTGTGTGCGTGCATATATGTGTATGTGTGTGCATATATGTGTATGTGTGTGCATATATGTGTATGTGTGCATATATAGGTATGTATGTGTGCATATTCTGTGTGTATGTGTGCACATATGTGTATGTATGTACGTGTGTGCGTGTATATGTGTATGCATGTGTGCACAATATGTGTATGTGTGCACAATATGCGCATGCGTGTATATGTGTATGCATGTGTGCACAATATGTGTATGTGTGCACAATATGCGCATGCGTGTATATGTGTATGCATGTGTGCACAATATGTGTATGTGTGCACAATATGCGCATGCATGTATATGTGTATGCATGTGTGCACAATATGTGTATGTGTGCACAATATGCGCATGCATGTATATGTGT